ATCCCTGGAGGTTTTCAAGAAAAACGTTGGATGGCCATTTGCCCAGGATGGTCTGGGGTTCCTGCCTTAGGCAGGGGGCTGGACTAGAAGACCTCAAAGGTCCCTCCCCCCTCCCAGGATTTCTTCTTGGAAGCTTACAACAGGGCTTAGACTTCTACCTGGCTGCAGCTGGAAACAGGATACTAGACTGGACTACGGTTTCTCTGATCTAGAAAGAATGCAGGAAAAGAAATTAACACAAAGTGGAGCATTTGATGCTTCCAGAAAATATTTGCTTTTTGTTTAGCTGTTTATTTTTTTTAAGGCCAACTATAAACTTTCTAATAAACATCCAGGCTGTGAATAGCTATTTTGAAGCCTTTTCATGTGCCCAAAGCCAGAAAAAAATGGTTAAATAAGATTTCCAGTGGGAAATGGAGAAAGATACTTAGGGAAGATTTTGTGTCTCTAAAAAAAAAAAGAAAAGGGGTTCCAGATTCACTATAGTTTGGTTTAGGACAAGTCAGCCTGCCTCAGTGCAGAATCCAACATGGCTTTAAGCACAAGCCCCCTTTGCGTCACCGTGGCCAAAGAGACCCGTGAGAACCGCAGGAAATCACGGGGAGCTGCGGCCGTGCCAGGAAGTGACACCAGGGCGTGTGTGCATGGCTGAACTTTGTGTGGCTTCGAGCAGGTCTGACCTGGGTGGAACCCCTGGCCTGGCCAAGCCTCCCCCGTCATAAAGGGTGGGAAAAGTCCACAATTCCCAGTGGGGGACCCCGAAGGAAATGGGGGTGAGCAGGGAAAGGGCTGCGAGAGAAGCCATCCCCGACCTCCCAGTCCACATGGATCCCTGAATCAGCTTCTGGGCCAAGCAGAACTCAGACTGAGGCCAGGTCCTGCACCCCTCAACCAGGAAAGCAAGGAAGGGAGGGGAGTTGCAATCCAGCCCCTCCCCGGGGACCCATGTACACTCATGCAAGGAGAACTGTGTTTGTGTACGATAGCAAAGGATCAACAGGAGTTTGGGAGCATCTTTTCCAATTGTCAAATGTTATTGGAAAAATGTGACCGGATTCCCCCCCCCATTATTACTATTACCATTACCATTACCATTACCATTACCATTACCATTACCATTACCATTACCATTACCATTACCATTACCATTACCATTACTATTATTATTATAATATTGACAGCTGAAACTTGCTAACCCTTTGGAAAACACAGCTCTGGTGAAAGGTAGGGCCACCTCAATTTTTATTAACAGCTTAAAAAAGAGGTTTGTTCCCAAGAGGCTGCCCGAGACTCATCTTGCAGATGCAGCTTCAAGCGGTCCTCCCAGTGATGGGCTTTTAAAAAAAATTACTTTCCTGGAGGGTCCCACCATGGTCATGTGACCAGGTTCTTCCAGAGGAACAATAAAAAAAAAAGAATTTAAAACATTACAGTAGTAGGTGAGTTTCTTCTTGCCTACTTTATTTTTTAAGTTTCATTTATCTTTTAAATAATTTAAATTTTAATTTAAAATAATTTAAATAATTTAATTTTAATTAATTATTTAATTAAATGTTTATTTCATTATTTATTTCTCAGCAAAAGGGAAAGTGATGCCGTTTAGTCCTAGCAGTTGACATCTGCCTCCCGTTGAATGCATTCCCCCCTCCAGTCAGGCCCATTTCCAGATGTGGTGGGGTGGCAGGAATGCCCCCTGGGCCCAGCCCACCACTCGCCACCTCGGAGCGGTAAGCTGCCCACGTGCGGGCCCGGTGTCTGCGCGCTCCGGTGCACGCCTGCAACCGAAAGGGGGTCTCCAGCTGGGGACGCAGGGCTGGCCGGCACCTCCAAGACAACCAGCTCATCCTGCCGGGGGAAGGGGGAAGGGGGAAGAGGGTCGGGGGTGGGAGACCTTCTGGCCGGACTCAGCCCCCAGCTTCCTGAAGGGAAGGAAGAGGACAGCGCGCCTGCTGCGTCCCCCGGGGGAGGCATCCATTGTCTTGCCCCACCGCAAGCCAAGGACGGACGGACGGACGGTTTCCTGGAGAGCAGCGGATGAAACGGAAGGAGCCACGTCCCTGAACCAGCGGAAACGCACGTGCACGCACAGAGAACGGCACATTTGAAAGGCACGGGCCTGCGACTCGTGATCGTCGAAGGTCAGCCTGACACACAGACACACACAGGAACAACAGATGCTCCTGGCTTCTCCCAGGACCCAGCTGTGCAGCAGGGAACAAAGGGGAGCACAAGGAGCAGACCCCAGGGATCCTCACGGTCGCCTGACATTTAACCTGCCTGACGGGCATCATGTTCCACACATGCCTCCCTCCCTCCCTCCCTCCCTCCGTCTTAATGCTGGCATGACTGGCGCACAAACCTCTCCAGGAATCGCGCTGGCAGAGGCTCCTGGCCGGGAAAGCCGTGCAAATGCTCAAAGGCTGAGAGAGCGTCACGATTTCCTGCCAGCTCCCGGACGGGGGGCGGGGGGCAAGGCGCAAGGCGAGGCAGCTGTGCAGAGGTCACCAAAGAGGGGGACCAGGCGGGCAGGGCTGGCAAAAGGAGGGGATGTGGAGCCAGCTCTTCTCCACCTGGAGCAAATGATCCTACAAGTAGAAGCGGGATCCGGCCACGTGTGAGCATGTGCGATGTCCAGAAGCAGAGAAACAGGGCTGAGGGGAGCAGGTAAACCAGACAGAACCCGAGAGATTTAGATTCCCCTTCCAGGGAAGGAACAGAGAGCGATGCTCCCCCCTCGGCTGGGGTGTCTACAGGATATGGCCAAAAAAGTAAAGATGGTGGGTATGACAGTGCGATTGAGGCTTCACCTGCACATAAAAAACAGGCAGGACTTCGATCGCACCCTTAGGCCACCATCGTGACTTTTCTGACCATATCCTGCAGAGCCCCCTGCTCCTTGGTCACTGGCCCACTAATCCAGCCGTCCTCAGATGCCACAGCAGAGAGCAAGGAAGCCGGAGAGCGATGGTTCTGAAAGCCATGTGCCTGCTGACTGCACACAGTTTTTTGCTGTCCTGCACCACTTCCGCACCCTTCCACGCACACACCCTCCTCTCCCGTCTCTGCCTGCCAGCCTCTCTCTGTGCTCAGCACGCCAGGAACCTTCCGCCTGGGGACACGCAGCCTCCAACACAAGGGGACAAGCAAGCTCTTACAAGCACAGACGTTGGTCGCCTGGCATTGGCACGGAAGCCCGGTGGCACAGCCAACATATTCAGGGCAGGGACGGTTTCCTGGATTTCTGCATTCCAGAGCTAAGGGGCAGGTCCTGTTCCCAAAGGACAGATGTGGATTTTATTCCTGAAGTGGGACGGGTCCAAGTCAGCTTTTCCCCATGCAAAGGTCAGTCGGGCTGAGAGCTGCCCTTCAAATTCCTGAAAAGGAGGGTGATGGAAACTGAGGGCCCCGCGTTGTGGAAGGATAAGAGAGATCCAGAAGTTTAGTTTTCTGACCGGGCTGTGAACCTGGTCAACCAACTGACAGCCAGTTCAATCTCCTCCAGGGCAGATTCCTGAAACGGCAGCCCTGACTACACTACTGTACCCTCAGAGCAGCCCCACAAGTTCACTTACACAGGCAGGTGCCCTGGGGAAGCCTCGCTGCCCGGCATCCCAGGAACATCTGGAGGGTTCGGAAGGGGGCAGCACCAGCCCAAGCCCCCAACCACTCACACAGCTCTGATCCGCTCCCGGACTCCCTTGGGGCCCTGAGCTGTGACTCAGGGAGAACATTCTTCATTGCTTCTGCTCCTGCAGAACTAGAAAGACAATTTGGCCTCGGGTGCACGCGTGTGTGACCGAAGGGCTAAATCCAGCCACTGCATGTAATGCCACACCAATAAACCATGCCATGGGCCTGATTCCCACTCTGTATTGAAATGGCTGGGTTCCTGCGAGACCCTGAGCCACAAGTGGCCCCACCCACGTCAGCCAAGCTAGCTCAGGGGGGCAAACTGTTCCGGGATGAGGCAGGCAGTGTCCTGACCACTAGCGGGGTCTTCCTTGTCCTTGGCAAGCTCAGCACCTTCAGTCAGAGATGTAACTCTGTGAGACCCTGCACGGGCCTTGGGGTTGGATGGATGACCTCAAGGCCCTTTTCAGTCCCAAATCCTGCCACTCTGAAACATTTTGCACGTTGGAAGACACCAAGGGGCCCCCTGCAGAGTGCTCGGTGCTTGCTCCTGCAACTAAGGCAGAGCTTCCAGTCTTAGAAAACTAACATTTGATTCACAAGGTCCAGTCGTTCCACTTGCACCTCCCGAATGCTGGTGCTCTGGGGCCCACACGTTCTGGTGCTCTTCTGGGGGTGTCACGAAGAGCGTGAGAAACCGAGGCCCATAAAGCTGACAGCCAGAGAAAGGCAGATGTTGTTTGGGGCAACGTGTTCTGCTCGCTGCCCTCGCGCCTTTCCCAAAGCGAGAGACGCTGATTTATATCAGCTTCTGGGGCTCGTCCAGGGGAGAAGGGAAATCTCCACTTCCTTTCCTAGCAGGGAGACCAGGACTCTGCCAAGGCAATTAACCATCTGGTGCCCCAGGAAAGAAAGGAAAAATAAAACCTGGCTTTAGAACAACAACAACACACAAACACACAGAGATTCCCACGCAATCAGAAGTTTGGCTCAGTTGCTCAAGGCCGAATATTCCTTTTGTGCTGAACATGCAATCAGAGTGGGACTGCAAGAGGGTATGAATTACATGCCCATTTCCAGAACCGGTTGACTTTGCTTTTCTCCCAGGGCTATGGGGGGGGGGGAAGGAAGAGCCCCCCCAAATCTCTGCAAATCACAGCAGGTGCCCGGCTGAGACTCCCAGGATTGACCGCGATGATTAGCAGGCGGTGTTGTGATGCGCACGCGATGCCACTGCAGCTTGTCCTGGGCACCTCTACTCAATGCGCTCAGGTCCAGAGGTGTTTGACTCTAATTCCGATGATTCTCAGCCAAGCAGGCAAAGCCCCTTCAGAAATGCATCCAATGAACAGCGGGGCTGCAGATGACAGGACACAGAAGGGTCCTGGTCTCAGACTCACCTACTCTAAAGGGCTGTGGGGAGGATAAATGTGGGGTTCATTTCTGCCAACACAGATCAAAATGAAAAAAAAAGGGTGGAACAGCAGAAATGTGGATTACCCTGCCCATATCTCTTTCTGCAATGGCACTGAGGGTTCTTACTACATCTCTTCTTTCCTTTGATTTCAAAACCTCTTCAGCCTTGAAGATTCGTACAGGTACTCCTCGCTTAACAACCATTCATTTAGTGACCTTTTGAAGTTACAACAGTGCTGAACAAAGGGACTTACAACCAGTCCTGATACTTACAACGGTTGCAGCACCCCTGCAGTCACATGATTGCAATCCAGGTGCCTGGCAACCAGCTCACACAACGGTTGCAGCATCCTGGGGTCACATGATCACCATTTGTGACCTTCCCAGTCTCCGGCAAGCAAAATCAATGGGGAACCGTGTGATTCACTTAATGACCGCATGATTTGCTTAACGGCCATGGTGATTTGCTTAATGACAGCTGCAAAAAAGGTCGTAAAATTGGGTGCAACTTGCTTAACAACCGCCCCGCTTCACAACAAATTTTCCAGTCCTTATGGTGGTGGTTAAGCAAGGACTACCTGTATTTCTATTTGCTTCATCCAGACTTTCCCCAGCGTGCTAGGAGGGGTTTCTCCAAGCCCAACCCCACCCTAGAAAATAAATGTGGTTCTTCTGAGACGATGGCGTGGATTGGCTGAAAGGCTAATGAAGGTACAAACTACAACCATAACTAAACTATAACTTCTAGATCGGAAG